TCATTTCAAAAGCATTTTACTCTATGCTTTCATTTCATTGGCCTTAAAGAAAAATTCTGCTATGGAACTCAGTCTCACTAGCCTGTAAAAAACTGAAAAAATACTGCTGTACCTTTTTAGTATTCAAGATTGAGACGCTTTTCTGGGAACCATGTTTCTAAGCATCTTGCATTTTTTTAACTTTTGAAAATGACGCAAGCCAGGAGGAAGTTTTGAGCACTGCTGAGTGTGGCCCCCAAACAAAAATAAACACAAGGATTCCTTTAGAGTAACTTTTATCATCAAACTTTGTCTTGTTAGCTCTCTCTTTTTTAAATTTAGTCACTATGAAATTACAAAGCCACTCATGATTGGATTTCAGGTGGGCTGGAGCCATAGCACAGCAGGTAGGGTGTTTGCCTTGTACACGGCCGATCCAGTCGACCTGGGTTCGATTCCTTCGTCCCTCTCGGAAAGCCAGGCAAGCTACCGAGAGTATCTTGTACACACGGCAAAGCCTGGCAAGCTACCCATGACGTATTCGATATGCCAACCACAGTAACAACAAGTCTCACAATGGAGACGTTACTGGGCCTGCTCCAGCAAATTGATGAACAACGGAGGACAGTGCAGTGCAGTGCTACAGTGGGTTTCTGACATACAATGTTTCAACACCAATCCCTTTTCTGGTCTCCACTTCTCTTTACAAATCCCCCTTCCTCTGTTTGCCTCACAGTTTGCTGGGGCATGGATGGATCTGGAGAGTATCATGATGAGTGAAGTTAGTCAGAGAGGGAGAGACTGACATAGAATCATCTCTCTCATATGTAGGATATTTAGTGCTCTTCTTTTCTTTGGTAGAATTCTTTTCAAAGCCTGTTTCCATTTACATTTATCATTGTAAGGAGATGAATTACACTGTAATTGTAATCTCTTATCAAAAAGATATGGTAGAGATAAGCACTCAAGGTATTCCTTATACATTCCTTGTTTACAGTTTGGCTTTCTTTAGAGCAATCTCAAGCAACATATTTGAGACTCTGATATAGCTTCTGACAGATGCCTCACATTATGGGAGGACTTTATGATTTTTTGGGGGGTGGATCTACATTATCTTGAGGAATTTGCCTCCTCAGAAGTTTTCCTTATTACTTCTTCTAAATAACACACAAAGCCTCTTGTAGTTTATGATGTCAGTGCTAGAGCTTCTCTAGCAGAAAACAATCTCATGGGCAAAGTTCAGTGTATTTTGCTTTATCATATCACTATTTTGTTTTTTGAAGGGGCTCCTCATCAGTGCTCAGGTGTTCCAAGGGCCACACCTGGTGATTCTCAGTCAGTGGGACTGGTGGTTCATGCTCATGCCCTGTGGTTCTATGGAGTAACTGGGCCATGTTGATGGAACTGAAGAGACATAGTGGAACTTGGGAAACCATTTGAGGTGGAGAGATTGAACTGAGGTTAGTTATAAGCAAAGAAGGTGATCTCTACACTATGTCACCTACCCTCCAAAAAATTTAAATTTAGAAAATACTTATCAATTGTTACAGCTTTGGAATCAAACCTGTGACTCAGTTTTATTTTGTGCAGAATTGTGGTGCTAACCCCTTCCTTGACAACTCCATTGAGTTGTTCTACTGTTGCTATTGTGTTGCTTAAGTTTTCTTTACAATAATCCTAAAATTTGATTGTGGAACAATCAGATGATTATCAGGTCACTGTATTTAAACATTTCACCCTGATTGGTCAGAGTTTATACCCTGATCATGGACATGCTGTTATATTGAGGGTAGGACATAATTGATTTGTTGCTGTTGTAGTATTTTCAGCTTGTGTTTGCATAAGGGTTGTTAAGTATATACATTCTTTTTTCCATTGTATTTAAATTTATGAAATTCTTTATCAGATAATAAAAAAGTTTTCAAGTATATGTTTTTCAGTGTTTGGTGTGAATTTTAATTCTTATGGATCTGAAGTTGCTTGGACACATGGCATGACATGATATTTGAACCTTGCATTTCTTTTTTGAAGTATAATTTAATTTAGCAGCAAGAGACATATCAATGAAATACAGGAATAAAACTCAGAGAAATTATGCCATTATGCAACCTGAGCTGAGATGTTGCAACCCTAGACAAGAGTGGCAGGGCACTGCATTGGATAACTTCATTAAAAAAATAACCAAAAAAACCTAATCCCTGCCATCATTTGTTTCCCAATCTTTTTACTTTCCCCTGATACATTTGTGTACCCCTTTCGGAAACTTTCCATGACTCTACACTTTTAACATAGGGAGGGAAAAGTACTCCCAGAAACTGGGAGTGGGAGACTAGGAGCAAGGCTGACAGGGATGACCATCTGAGAGAGGAGGAGTAGCTCACAATCTTTTTAATCCTTCATATTACAATGGTTAAGGTACTTTCCTTGTATGTGGCCAAACCCTTTTTGATTCCCTGAAGCCCACATGGTCATAATGAGTAATCCCTGAGTGCAAGGCAAGGAGTAAGCCCTGAGCACTACTTGGTTATCAACCACCCCCCAAAAAAACAAAAACAAAAACCCCATACAAACAGAAGAGTGATCTTGAGCATTTCTGGGTGTGACCCAAATGCCCTGTGCCCACCAAATATAGACATGCTTTCAAGTAGAGGAGTCAAATGTATAACCCTTGACCACAGACTGTATAATCTAGTTGGTTCTCCAAGGCATAAATTACTTTATATTTTCATCCAGAACCACTAGAAGTTAGTAAATATTTTTTTACCGTTGCTCCTATAGCACAAACATACCAAATACTCAGATGGAAGCCTGAACAATACCTAGCTCATTTTCTTGGGAGGGTCCTCTTAAAATAAATTTGTCTGTCATCCCAGGGCTACCTTGATTAAACAGGAATACAGGTCTGGGCATCTAACTGTGCCTTAAATTCTGAGTGACATGACTGAGAGAATCAAGTCACTGAAGGTTTTTCTGATCATGCTGGGTTTTGCTGTTTTTCTATATTTTCCTCAACACTCAATTCCTCTTGATTTAAAATTTATTTTTATTTGATTTCCTTTGTAGTCCCTTGGTGCACAGCTCATGCCAGAAATCATCCTTTACCTAGGTAATTTGGATAGAGTAGCTGTTATATCACTATTGCTGGTGGCTTAGTAAAGTGGGGAATGAGAAATATAGACTGAAGAAAAGAATGCTTCTACCTCGCTGCTCTACCCAATTAGGCCATTAGAGCTTGAGAAAATTCCTGGCTTGTGTCAAGTACCAGTAAAGTTAGCTATAAGCACTTACATAGCATGAATGCTCATATCCCCGCCAGACCCATGAGGTAACCAAAGAGCTGCCTCTGGAGTCCACTTGCTCTGCATAGTGTGGGATATTATTTCTGCCATCCAATTACTTGGGGAGCCATGGACCCCTTCTGGAGGGGGGAATTGGTGTTTGCAGGAAAAAAAATGTCCTAACCTTGGCACTGGCATTCTGGGTCCTTTGTCTTTCCTGCACAGAAAATAATTTGAGGAGGAGGTGAAATATTGAAGTAACGTAATTTTATTAACAAAACTTACTCAGATATTGGTGGGGACTGGGGAACAGGGAGAAGGAAAGAAATATGTGTTCAAAAGAGAATACAAGCTTAAAAGAACAATCAATAAAACAAGCAAAGAGAGGCATAGAGATAAGCAAGGGAGATACATGTTCAGGGAGAATACAGACTTGAAGAGCAAGCCTCACATAGCTTTTGGACCTGGAGGGGAGAGATGGATTTTATTCAGTTCCTCCAAATGTTTTTCCCCCTGGGAGTGCTCTATATACATAGAAGTTAATAAGGTCATTTTCACAGGGAAGCCTTGCACTGTTGATGGTTTTCTCATAAACTCATCTCCATACTATATCTTCATAATCTCATACATTATTTTGTAGCTTATTTTCTGGGGGGGGTCCAGCCTTCAGTTGGGTGGGGGCTTGATTAGTGCATCTGGGTGGGCCCTCAGTTTCTCCTTCCCAAAGAGCTCAGGATTTGTATGTCAGCAGAATGTAGATTTCATGGCTTTTGACTACTTTAGAGCTATACAATCTTTCTTAAGTTTTATTGCTTCCCCAAAGTACATTTTTGGGGTCTCCTACCTATCTGTTTACAATATCACCTTCAATCTTTTCTCAGTGTGGACCTCTGTTAAGTTACTTTTACTGTGCTAGTCTCCGTGATTTCTTACTTCCTGAACGTCCAAAGAAACTTGATCTGAAATAAAGAGGTTGTTAAGTTTATACCCAAAGGCACATTCTTTCAAGCTCCTTTGATCTTGTTATATGGGAAACAAAACCTATCCTGAAGTCTGTCTTAGTTGTGTCAGTCACTTGAGGAGGAAATCAAACAGGATATTGATAACTGAGTCCTGAGGGTTGCCAGAGAAGTAAGGTACACTTTATAAGGTTTTGTAGGGTGTAAAGTGCTCAGTTATGCCTGCCTGAAATATTGACTTCCAAGATGGTGGGTATTTCATTGAGGAGAAATGACATTGAGGAGAAGCCTTTGTGGGAAACTATCTGGGGAGGGTATAGAAAGTGTTCAGGGGGAGGGTAGTGTAGCTGCATGTCAGTACAGAGAGCAGGATGTTTGGTGATTATACTAGGTTATATACTAGGTTACTAGGTTATATACTAGGTTATATACTAGGTTACTAGGTTATATACGAGGTTATATACTAGGTTATATAGGTTATATACTAGGTTATACTAGTTAGGTCTGAGGACTACATTTAACTCGTACGGTAGGAGGGGCTTTTAGGACAAATTGATGAAAGGAGCAAGAACCCCCAGGTACTCAGGTAACAAAGTGTAACATGGAGCGAAGTCTGGAGAAGGCACAGTGAATTTCAGAGACCAGACTTTTTGGCATGCCTCTGACAGTTGTAACATTCAGAAAGAGTATAGCTGGCATGTCATCCATATTCCACCATCTAAAGAGTTGGGGTGTTTAAATCACCTTCTACAACATGCTTTCATGTTGTATGCCCTGCTGCGGCACCAGCTGAAAGTCACACGCAGTCTCTCCCGAGGCCACGGGTGAGACTCAGCGCCTAGAGCATGGGGGATTCAGCTCACCGCCCACTTCCAGTGTGGGGAGATGAAACCCAGGCTCCAACAGTGCCCGGAGCGACTTCTGGACCCCGACCCTCTACCCCGACCCAGCACGGCTGGACCCTCCACACCTGACCTAGCTCAGAGGCGACCCCTGGAGCCCTTACTCCACCCTGAGCGATCCCCTGCCCAGCCCTGACCCCCAACAGGCGGCTCAACCCCCGGAGCCCAGCTCCCAGCCCCCGCTCAACCAGCCCATCTTCGGCCCGCAGAAATTAGCAAATAAAAAAATTGTGTGTTTTGCGATGACCAATGTACATTCATTACATGAAAGGTGAGGTTGTGTGGGGGTTCTCTAGCCTCAGTCTCCTCTATATCTTGGTCCACTGGTTTCAGAATAACTGTCTCCTCTCCCCTTATCTGTCTTACGACCTTAAGCAGGCCCCATCTCCTGTTCTGAGTATGAAACCTTCACTTAGACCTGGTATCACATCTCCAAACAGTGCAGTCAGCTTTTCCAAGGACAGCTGTCCTGGAGGTGCATAAGGGCCCAGGTAGCAGGTTTGGAGCTACTTAGTGGCCTCGGATCCTAGTTGTATAGGATGGCAGGTACATGCCCCTTATTTTTTTAATTGAATCACCGTGAGATACAGTCACAGAGCTTTCATGTTTGACCAAACACCATCCCTCTACCAGTGCACATTTTCCATCACCAATGTCCCCAGTATTCCCCCCCATCCTACTCCTCCCCTTGCCTCTATGGCAAACAGTTTTCCCCTTACTCTCTCCTTTTTTCATGCCCTTTATTCTTATGGGCTGGGCTCTTGCTTCTATGGGGACGGCTGTAGTTAGAACAGAGGGCTCTCTTGGCTGCATTTGAAAGCAATAAAACTGATACAGTTGTCAAAATAAAAGTTAACTCAGTGTAAATAATGATGAATCAAATCAAAAATCTATGCCTCACATTAGATGGGCTGTTGTTTCAGTTTCAATAGTGGCAGCAAAGTGTGCTTTGCCTTGTCTCGCCATGTTGTGGTTGGAAGTATACGGAACCGTGTGTGTGCCCATACATTTTGAAATGTCAGCACTGGTGACAAAATGAGATTTTTCTAGTGTTGACTTTACTCCTACAGTCATTAAGCCCCCAATTAGAGAAAAGATCAGTGTCTAGAGATTTGGGAAAGAAAGATAGTAAAGACCTTTAAAGGTGGGGCTGGAGCCATAGTAGAGAGGGTAGGGCATTTGCCTTGAACATGGCTGACCCGGATTCGATTCCCAGCATCCCATATGGTCCCCTGAGCACCGCCAGGAGTAATTCTTGAGTGCAAAGCCAGGAGTAACCCCTGGGCGTCACCTGGTATGACCCAAACAGGGAAAAAAAGACCTTTAAAGGTCCATACTGTTCTGTGAGGTAGGGTAAATATATACACATTTTACATATTTGAGTAAGGGTAAAACAAGGCCCACTGACATGAGAGATCAGTACTATGTATCAGTGCTATATAAGGGACAACTCAGTAGCTGTTATGAAACTCCCCGCCCCAGAAGTAACTATCATCCTGCATGTGTGTTTATATTTGTGACACGTATCTTTCCATATGCTTCAGTTTTGTGCATCTCTCACATGCACACATTTTAGTGCACACATATTTGCAACCGATGTTTTCCAGACTTTAAATACTTTGTGTCAAAACGTTTCCCTCCATCTGGAATGAGCTTTTACCTCTGCAAGTTTTTTTCAGCCTTGCTTTGCTCCAAACTCAGCCACTCTGTCAGCTACCTGTTAGTTTGAGTCTTTTTGTAAGCCAGGCCCTGTGACCTCTTTGTCACTTTACCTGCAGCAGTCTCAAGACAGTGACTGAAGCTGGTCCTATCAAATTTGAGCCTTTCTCCCTGTAGTTATAATTCAAGGATTCTTAAGCCTTAACTATGTCAAATTCTCCTGGAGGGTTTGTTACAACAGGGATTGAGAGATTACCCTCTGATTCAGTCAGGTCTTGGGGGAAGCCTGAGATTTCCCCAGTGATACCGATGGTGATTCTTAGGGGGCCAATTTTGAGAACCACTCCTGGAAATAAATCATGTCTACCTGGATTCAGAAGCACCATCTGACCTCCAGGCATGCTGCCCCCCACCCCCCACCAAGGTCTCCAAATCCATGCTTTCAAACAGTGCTTCACAAACTTCTTCCAATCACAGATCCTTTCCAACATCATTTACTTTCTTTGACCCCCCCATCCAATGAGTTGGGCCCCGAACCCCTTGGAAACATGCTGTTTACCTGTATATCCCTTTAAGTATCCTGAGGAGCCATCAGGAAGCATATGCCCCCAGGTTGTGAAACTCTGCTTTAGAGCACTGCTGTCCAGTACACAGACTATGTAAGTCATGTGTAATTCCAAGTTTTCTAGACATCATATTAAAATAGTAAAATGTATTTTGAGCCTTTATATAAGACATGAAAAAATAATACGATATTTTCAGCTCAGTATACTAGCATTTCAATATGTGATCAGAATAAAAATTACTAGTGACATTTTTATATCTAGAGCACATCTCAAATCAGCCCAGTAATGTTTCAAGTGCTTTGTGGTCAAACGTGGCTTGTGAATAACAGAGTGGACAGTGAAACTCCAATGGTTTACCCTCCACTCCTCTCTCTCCCTTCAAAACAAACATTTTAAATGAAAATATTCATTTATTTAGGGGCTGCAACAAAATAACCGAACAGACCTCCCAAATGGAAAATGACTACTGCCAGTAAATACAGGGGGTCATAACAAAGTGACTTTATTGGAGAGATTTGAGTAAGGATCATTTATCTAAATAAACTCTCTCTTTTAATTTATGAATTTTAAACAACGTATCTTTAACATAACAAATGATATCAAGTAACATTAGATATCAGCTTTTAGAGGATGAACTTTGGAGAGTTACAGTGTTAATAAGATCTCCATCAGCTTTTGAAAAACGAATAACTGAAAAACATTGAACAATAGATTCTTTTCTTTTTTGCGCATCTTCTTTGAACTTGTTTGAAAAACAGTTAACAACAGATTCCTTTTTTGCTCATCTTTGTATTTCTTCCAACTGCAGGGAGAAGGAAAGAGAATAAGGAAAAATGAACAATTATATAATATCAACCAGCACCAATGATTTTCTAGCTAATTTGAAATAGCCCTTAGTATATCTGCTGCATATGCTCACTGACTAGAGAACAGCACATTTGCCACTTGTAACCTCAGACTTGTGGATAAACATGGGGATCATGTGCAGCTGATGGTGTCAATCCTTGTGATCACAACCACCTTTTGTTTGTCTTGGCTTCTATTATAAGATTTTTTTCTTTTCTTTGAGAGGTGATTCTGGGTTTGAAATAGAAATAAACCTCTCCAAGTGAAAAATGTATGCTTACAGCATGAGTGACACTCTCTTAACTCTCCCAGACCCTCAGTTTTCGTATCTGTTGTAGGGAAAGAAACTATTATTATGAAACGCAGAACTACAGCAATGCACAAAGGAAAACATGTTTATCATTCAACTCTGACAAAGACAAGCCTTACGACTGAATTACCAATTCAGTGCTTAAACTGTAGTCATGCAGTGGCTTTCTTCTTGTCTAGCTCATAAAACAACAACAACAAAAAAACTACAACCAAACAAATGTTTATGTTTTAATCACTATGGTCTTACTTGAAATTCTTAACGTGTTACTGTTTGTAAGTAGTCATGTCCTGAAGAGCATTGTCTCCTAGTTAACTCAGGACAGACTACATTTTTAGTGTAAAATGCAGACCCTTCCAGAGCCTGGCCTTGTCACTTAATTTTTTAAAAATTTTTTTAATTGAATCACTGTGAATACAGTTACAAAACTTTCATAATTGAGTTTCAGTCATACAATGATCGAACACCCATCCCTCCACCAATGCTCATTTTCCACCACTAGTGTCCCCAGTATCCCTCCCACCCCCCCATCCCAGCCCCTGCCTCTGTGGCAGGAACCTTTCTTCTTACTCTCTCTCTATTTTGGGCAGCATGGTTTGCAATACAGATACTGAGATGGCCTTGTCACTTTAGCTGCTACTTTTAGTAACTTATTTTAGAGGTCTATTAGCCTCAGGCATTGACCCATTTAGTGCACATAATGTTAATAATCATAGAGTGAGGACAATAGACCTCACAAGAATAAATGAGTGGTCCGATCATTGTATGATTGAAATGTAAGCACAAAAGTGTGTAAGTGTAAAAAATTAATAAAATAAAATAAAAAAATGTCTAAAACGATTAAAAAAACAAATGAGTGGTCATGATGATGCAACATCAAATACTGTGTTTTATATAACTAGGGATGAGTATTTTCTTGACATCCTAAGTAGCTGATACTGAATTTAAGCTCTTTTGAAATAAGTGTATTCTTCATTTACTGGAGAATGAAGTAAAAATTAAATAGCACTATTTAAACAAAATAGTACTATCAGTAATAGGTATAGGCCAGGAATGGCTGGGTCATGTTTAAAGCTACAAACACATACCTGGATTCTTAAGGCCCAGGATTCTCTCCTGGGTTGAAATTTTCTTCTTGGGCTTTTTCATTTTTCTTTTCCTTCTCCCCTTCGCCTTCATTTGCAGTTTCAGTTTCTGCTTCTGCCACTACTTCATTATGCTCCTCACATTTTTCAATCTCAGGATCAGTGTCCCCTTCATCTGAGTTTTCCATCAGATACCCAGTTGTTTCTGTAGTGAAAATAAGACAGAATTAGGGACCAGATGTTACAGAAAAAATCCCAGTAAGCAGTATCCTCTTGTCTGCTTTTTTCCTGATATTTAGCCATGCTCCTATTTGGGATCTACTTTCTCAGACTCTTGACATTGTAATGTCCCAAATCAGAAACAAGGCTTGTTATTTTCTGCATGCTTTTCGCATTCCCTCCCAGTTCCACCTACCTTCAAGTGCCATCATCTGGGTCTCCTTAAAGTGCACTGCTAACCAGCTATCCTGAGTCCCGAGGGTGAAAGGCACAGCCTTTTTGTGCCACAGGATTAATGTCCATATTATCTTGGCTGCTCTG